GACATATCTCCATGTCCGCGATCACCACATGTGTGTGACATATCGCCATGTTCGCGAACACCACATGTGTGTGACATATCGCCAAGTCTGCTAACACCACGTCTGTGACATATCGCCAAGTCCGCGAACATCACATGTGTGTGACATTTCGCCATGTTCGCGAACACCACATGTGTTTGACATTTCGTCAAGTCCGCGAACGTCACATGTGTGTGACATTTATCCATGTCCGGGAAAACCACATGTGTGTGACTAATCGCCATGTCCGCGAACACCACATGTGTGTGACATATCGCCGTGTCAGCGAACATCCCATGTGTGTGACATTTTGCAAAGTCCGCAAACACCACATGTGTGTGACATTTTACCATGTCCGCGAACACCACTTGAGTGTGACATATCGCCATGTCCACGAAAACCACATGTGTGATATATCGCCATGTCCGCGGACATCACATGTGTGTGACATATCGTAGTGTCCGCGAACACCACATGTGTGTGACATATCGCCAATCAGCGAGCATCACATATGTGTGACATATCGCCATGTCCGGGAAAACCACATGTGTGTGATATATCGCCATGTCCGCGAACACCACATGTGTGTGACATATTGTCGTGTCCGCGAACACCACATGTGTGTGACATATCGTCAAGTCCTCGAACACCACCTTTGTGTGACATATCGCCAAGTCTGCTAACACCACATGTGTGTGACATATCGCCAAGTTTGCTAACACCACGTGTGTCACATATAGTCAAGTTCGCGAACATCACATGTGTGTGACATTTCGCCATGTTCGCGAACACCACATGTGTGTGACATATCGCCATGTCCGCGTACATCACAAGTGTGTGACATATCGCCGTGTCCGCGAACATCACATGTGTGTGACATATCGCCGTCTCCACGAACACCACATGTGTGTCATATATCACTGTGTTTGGAAACATGACGTGTGTGACATATCGCCATCTCCGCGAACACCATTTGTTGTGACATATCGCCAAGTCCGCGAACACCACATGTGTGTGACATATCGCCATGTCCGCGAACACCACATGTGTGTGACATATCGCCATGTTCGCGAACACCACTTGTGTGTGACATATCGCCATGTCCGCGAAAACCACATGTGTGATATATTGCCATGTCCGCGAACACCACATGTGTGTGACATATCGCCCAGTCCGCGAACACCACATGTGTGTGACATATCGTCAAGTCCTCGAACACCACCTTTGTGTGACATATCGCGAAGTCCGCGAACACCACATGTGTGTGGCATATCGCCGTCTCCACGAACACCACATGTGTGTCATATATCACTGTGTTTGGAAACATGACATGTGTGTGACATATCGCCATCTCCGTGGACACCATTTGTGTGACATATCGCGAAGTCAGCGAACATCCCATGTGTGTGAAATTTCGCCATGTCCGCGAACACCACATATGTGCGACATATCGCCATGTTCCCGAACACTACATGTGTGTGACATATCGCCAAGTCCGCGAACACCACATGTGTGTGACATATCGCCATGTCCGCGAACACCACATGTGTGTGACATATTGCCATGTCCGCGAACACCACATGTGTGTGACATATCGTAGTGTCCGCGAACACCACATGTGTGTGACATATCGCCAAGTCAGCGAGCATCACATATGTGTGACATATCGCCATGTCCGGGAAAACCACCATGTGTGTGATATATCGCCATGTCCGCGAACACCACATGTGTGTGACATATTGCCCAGTCCGCGAACACCACATGTGTGTGACATATCGCCAAGTCCTCGAACACCACATGTGTGTGACATATCGCCAAGTCCGCGAACACCACATGTGTGTGACATATCGCCAAGTCCGCAAACACCACATATGTGCGACATATCGCCAAGTCAGCAAGCATCACATATGTGTGACATATCGCAATGTCCGCGAAAACCACATGTGTGAGACACTCGCCATGTCCGCGAACACCACATGTGTGTGACATATCTCCCAGTCTGCGAACACCACATGTGTGTGACATATTGCCATGTCCCCGAACATCACATGTGTGTGACATATCACAGTGTCCGCGAACACCACATGTGTGTGACATATCGCCATGTTCGCAAACACCACATGTGAGTGACATATCGCCATGTTCGCGAATACCACACGTGTGTGACATATCGTGAAGTTCGCTAAGACATGTGTGTGACATATCGCCATGTTCGCGAACACCACATGTGTGTGACACATCGCCAAGTCCGTGAACACCACATGTGTGTGATATATCGCCGTGTCCTCAAAAATGACATGTGTGTGATATATCGGCATGTCCGCGAACACAACATGTTTGTGACATATCGCAGTGTCCACGAACACCACATGTGTGTGACATATTGCAGTGTCCGCGAACACCACATGTGAGTGACATATCGCAAAGTTAGCGAACATCACATGTCAGTGAAATATCGCCATGTCCACGAACACCACATCTGCGTGACATATCGCCAAGTCCGCGAACACCACATGTGTGTGACATATCGCCATGTCCCCGAACACCACATCTGTTTGACACATCGCCATGTCCGCGAACACCACATCTGAGTGATCTATGTCCTCAAAATGACATGTGTGTGATATATCGGTATGTCCGCGAACACCACATGTGTGTTACATATCGCCAAGTCAGCGATCATCACATGTGTGTGAAATATCGCCAAGTCCGCGAACACCACATGTGCGTGACATATCGCAAAGTCCGCGAACACCACATGGGTGAGACATTTCGCCATGTCCGCGAACACCACATCTGTTTGACACATCGCCATGTCCGCGAACACCACATGTGTGTGATATATCGCCGTGTCCTCAAAAATGACATGTGTTTGACACATCGCCATGTCCGCGAACACCACATGTGTGTGACATATCGCAGTGTCCACGAACACCACATGTGTGTGACATATCGCCAAGTCCGCGAACATCACATGTGTGTGACATTTCGCCATGTCCGCGAACACCACATGTGTGTGACATATCGCCATGTCCGCGAACACCACATGTGTGTGACACATCGCCATGTCCGCGAACACCACATGTGTGTGACATATCGCCGTGTCCGCGAACATCACATGTGTGTGACATATCGCCGTCTCCACGAACACCACATGTGTGTGATATATCGCCGTGTCCGGAAACATGACTTGTGTGTTACATATCGCCGAGTCCGCGAACACCACATATGTGTTACATATCGCCATGTTCGTGAACACCACATGTGTGTGACATATCGCCAAGTCCGCGAACACCACATGTGTGTGACATATCGCCATGTCCGCGAACACCACACGTGTGTGACATATCGCCAAGTCCGCGAACATCACATGTGTGTGACATTTCGCCATGTCCGCGAACACCACATGTGTGTGACATATCGCCATGTCCGCGAACACCACATGTGTGTGACACATCGCCATGTCCGCGAACATCACATGTGTGTGACATATCGCCGTGTCCGCGAACATCACATGTGTGTGACATATCGCCGTCTCCACGACCCCACATATGTGTGATATATCGCCGTGTCCGCAAACATGACATGTGTGTGACATATCGCCAAGTCCGCGAACACCACATGTGTGTGACATATCGCAATGTCCGCGTATATCACCAATGGACGAATAAGTACTGTGTGGATGACATTATAAGTTGTTCACTGGTCACGCGGGGGACATGGGTTGATGTACCATCTAAGATTGTTTATGTTCCCTGAGACCCAGTTCAAGGGAAACATAAACAAACATAGAGGGTACATCAACCCATGGGCCCCGAGGGACCAATGAACAGCGGATTTATCTTACCGAACACCTCAATGTTTATTTCGAACTCACGGGTATCGGATCATGATAAGGCGCACCAGAGTTAGGCAATTACCTATACCGACAACGACAGACCGAAACCAACTTTAGAGTTATCTCCCTTCCATCGACTTGCATTCGCAAAACATCGGTAATTTCCGTACACCATACGTAACTCAATTATTCGAGATAAAGAATTACAAACACGAAGTGCCCAGCGGGGTACATTAATATTAATAGAAGAGCGCTCAGCCAATCAGAAAATGACACTTATGTGCGAGGAAAGATAAGTTGTCCTGTCCGTGTACACCGTGTCGCATATGTCGGACATATCTTCATGTCTGCGTATACCACCGATGGGCGAAGACAACTTTCTCACTCAATTGTAGCATATTTTAATTGAGCTGTCACTTCAGGATGTTTCAATCAAATGTGCGTTATTAAAGCTTACTTCCAATACTCATTTCGGGGCAGTGGGGTAGCCTAGTGGTTAAAGCGTTCGCTCGTCACGCCGAAGACCCGTGTTCGATTCCCCACATGGGCACACTGTGTGAAACCCATTTCATGTGTCCCCCGCCGTGATATTGCTGGAATATTGCTAAAAGCGGCGTAAAACTAAACTCACTCACTCCAATACTCATGTATTGTTTAACTTTGTTTTCTACACATATTTTATGACCGTTGTCAGCTTCAGCACACCCGATTTCATCAGAAGAATCCACAACTGAAAGCACCATGTCATCAACAGAAAGAAACATGTCACCGACAGAATCGACGTCCGGAAGTACCTTGAAACCAACAGAATCCACGTCCGGTCGTACCATGTCACCAACAGATTCCATGACCGGAATGACTTTGAAACACCAGAGTCAATGTCACAACAGATTCCATGACCGGACGTACCAAGTCACCAACAGAATCCATGACCGGACGTACCATATCACCAACAGATTTCATGACAGGAAGTACCATATCACCAACAGATTCCACGTCCGGAAGTACCGGAATTACCTTGAAGATTCCATGACCGGACAGTACCGTGAAATCAACAGAATCCACGTCCGGAAGTACCATATCACCAACAGAGTCGACGACCGGAAGTACCATCTTACCAACAGAATCGACGACCGGAAGTACTATGAAACCAACAGAATCCACGTCCGGAAATTCCGTATCACCAACAGAGTCGACGACCGGAAGTACCTTATTACCAACTGAATCGATGACCGGAAGTACAATGAAACCAACAGAATCCACGTCCGGAAGTACCTTGTCGACAACTAAATCTACAACAGAGTCCCGAACTAACGGTAATAACATTAAAGTTATCGCATCTGTGTCATTGTGTTATGTAAATATCATGAAAGGCACTTGAAGGCCAATAATTTACATATGAGAACATGTATCGTTTGTTGTAAATGTTAGAGAATATAATGATGATGAAAGTCAGTTTGATCTCCATTTTGTTGCAGCCCCCAGTGTCCACAGTGTTGTTGTATTGCTGGTGGTGTTGGTGGGTGTGATGGTCTTCACTACACTGCTAGTGACCTGCCTCCTCTGTGTGTACAGGTAAACCAGCTAGGAACATGTATTCATGAAATGATTAACCGTCACCATCAAATATGCTTCTGTATTACATGTCATGTCACTTCTGATCGTCATAGCAATATCGCGATTTGTAATTTGCATGTGTGAACAAGTACAATGTACTGGCCAGTTCCTATATTCTACGAAAACATTCTTTCAACATTTAATGTAAGCTGGACATGTGTTTATTTGTTGAATATGAGATGATATATTTTGTTGTAGGAAACCCTGGAAAAGGGACCAGTCTTCCATCGTATCGCCCAACACGTGCACACACTTAAACCACGCGAGTGCACCTGTTGTTGCCAACCTATACTCTGACATGACCTCTGGAGACGAGAATGTGGTGCATATGTCCAGTTTGGAGAACATTGGGCCGATGGCAGATAGTGACCACTGGCCTACCCTCACTGTCCGCCAGGGACACAGTGCAGTGAAGTACAGTGTGAGTCGGGTGGAGAACGGTGAAGGAGGTTGTCCAGGAGACAGTGCGTACGCCCAACTGGACATCCCCAGGCGTGAAAGGGACAGTGCAGACTACTGGGAGGTGGAGGTTGGGGAGGAGGACTCCTTCTGTGTTGTCCATTCTCAGGTAAACCATGATGACGTCATGCTACAGGAGCTGACCCTACAGAAGACATCGCAGACATGCCACATAGCAGCTTCACCCACAGATCATCCCCCACGTCATCTTCGTACCTGTGAGATGGGATTTGCCGGATCTGATAACGGAGACGTGTTCGAAGAAAGTTCAATATATGAACCCCTCTCCACCTTTAACCGCCTTTCGGTACGACGAACAGATGAAACTTACACGTCCTTTGAGCAGCAGGAACTTAATGTCAAGCCAGACATTCAGAAAACGAACAAGAGCTATTACTTCGAAAAGGAGCCCCTTTATTTGAAAAATGAAAGTAAAGCAGCTTTTGATAAACTCAGTTATACATCTGAAAACACAGATAACCCTTATATATATCTCAGCAGAACTGAACTACGGGTGACCTTCACCCAAGACTGTGACCTTCAAGAACAGTGTGAAAGGTCCGACACTATACATGGCCGTCATGACGATCACCAAACAGTGACAGAAGCAGATGAGGACAAAAAATCAGGACATTCAAGAACGCACTGGGCGAAAGAACAGGCATGACTACTTCGAATTAGAAGCCGTCCGATTTCCACAATACAAAGATGCTAGTGTCTCTCCCCGTCACGAGGATCTACCAGAATATATTGAGCACACAACCTATCACACTTCTACGTGTCCATGTGGAGCATCTGATGTCTGCCACCAAACACGTGTCAATGGACGTCTCGGATATCGCTGCTCCTGACATCTCAACCCCGAAAGACTTTGTCCCCCAGACAGACATGACAGGTGGGTTTAGACGTCGTGACCGGACCTCAGTCACGGTGAACCCATACCACCATCTGACACACCCATACAAGGTACATGGGACATACGAACATGACGTGGGGATCAGTATTCCAACAAACGGTCAAACACAGGATAGTACGGATGAGAACCTCCAAGATGCATTGGATCAATGTCAAATCCAGACAACAAGGAATGAGGATAGTAGTCACGTGACTCAAGGAAACCAGACAGCTCGAGACCGGCGTTTGGGTGACGAGGGTTTGAGTGACGAGAGTGAGTGAGTGGTGGCTACGCTGTCGGTGAAGTTACAGATGGCGGTGACAGCGATGAAAGGACGCTGTGTCATACCGATCTTCCGTCTTGTTTTAGACCGCCTCGACACTAGGCTGTAAGTGGGAACTCTCACGTGTGTAAATGCCACTCTGTTGCTATACGCGGTTTATTATCCATATGTAAATATGGAGAAACTATCAGCTGACACAGACTTCAGTTACTGCACACCTGGTACGTCCCGGAAATTCTCGCCTGGGTTATTGAAAGGGTCGTTTGGTTGGTTCCCATCAATCTACATTTAGTATATGTGTATAAATAGTGTTGACATTAGAATATAATCACGACATGTGTATAAATAGTGTTGACATTAGAATATAGTCACGACATGTGTATAAATAGTGTTGACATTAGAATATATTCACGACATGTGTATAGTGTTGACATTATAATATATTCACATGTGTATAAATAGTGTTAACATTATAATATATTCACACATGTGTATAAATAGTGTTAACATTAGAATATATTCACGACATGTGTATAAATAGTGTTGACATAAGAATATATTCACGACATGTGTACAAATAGTGTTGATATAAGAATATATTCACGACATGTGTATAAATAGTGTTGACATAAGAATATATTCACGACATGTGTATAAATAGTGTTGACATTAGAATATATTCACGACATGTGTATAAATAGTGTTGACATTATAATATATTCACATGTGTATAAATAGTGTTGACATTAGAATATATTCACGACATGTGTATAAATAGTGTTGACATAAGAATATATTCACGACATGATATAAATAGTGTTGACAGGATCTTATGTTCACGACATGTGGAGACACAGAGCCCTAACGTCATATTGGCAACTCCCTGTCTGGGTACATAAGTCAGTGACAGGATATATTGCACCTGATATTTAGGACACAACCATCGTTTTATCTACCAAGTAAATTAGAGAAACATTGTTCAAGATAGGATTCTCACATGTATGGATCGCACAGGATGTCGGAGATGTAAATAATTTCTTATCATGTTTAAAACAGCGCCTCAAAGATATATCACACCAAAACTGGCATCATGAGATAAACAGTTCAAGTTTCCTTACCCACTACGCTTCATTCAAGTTTTCACTGGAAAGAGAATCATGTATCACGAACATCAGGAACAAACAACTAATAAGAGTTTACTTCAAATCTAGAGCTTCGCTAACAAACATCAAGATAAACAAGCTAAGAACCAATAAAGATACAGCGGCAATCAACCCCATCTGTGAACTTTGTAATCATAACCTTAATGAAGATGAGAACCATGTATTTTTGTTTGTGATAAGTATAATCAAGCCAGAACTCTATATCTACAGAAGCTACAATCAGTCTACAGAGGCCCACTTACCATTCAGGCAATTTTCATGTCACAAAATAGTAATGTACAGCATCTAACAGCTATCTATCTCAATGAGATATTCAAAATAAGATCAATATGAAACTCAAATGTTTATGATCACGTGTAATTTAAATTGTATATGTCAACTGTATGATAGCCTTATGGCCCAAATACTACTGAATAAACTTCTCATTGTCTGCCAAGTGAGCCGTGACGTTGCGTGGTTTTGAGGAATATTAGCACGGATGTTTCCTGGTGCACATAATGCTGGGATGTGTGTTGGCGAGGGACCACGTCCTCATTGATGCTACTCCATACAATGGGAAGAAAGCCGAACATTGAATCAGGAACAAGGATAACGCCAGTCGAACAGGGAAGAAACTAAGCTATAAAAGAAACATTGTATTAATTGTCATCCTTATCAGACACAGACACATGAACAGCTATTTAGTTATTTAGTGTTGCCCAACGATCGTTTTCCCAGAGGGTAAACATGGTTAGACTTCGGAAAACAGATCCCCGAGTTATGTCACCACTCCAACAATGTCGACACTATCGAGGAGTTGAATGGATGTGCAGTTATAGCGATTCCCCAGTTTCATAGAAAACAACTGACTGGGTATATCTCACAGCGGGGACACCAGAAATGGTCTTCACACATTGTACCCGGTCGTGACGAGCGAACGCTTTAACCATTAGGCTACCACCCCGCAACAAGCTTTAAGCTGATGGGTATAGATTATAAAGTTGAAAATTATTATCGTGAAGCCCATTTCTGCTGCCTCCCCGCCGGGATATTGCTGGAATATTGCTAAATGCGGCGTAAAACCATACTCACTCACTCGTCGCCTTTACACGAGTTTCGCCCGAATAAGCCACCCAAACTCTTTAAGAACGTGTAAGCTGAACAACAGCTGTCAATTTGGAGGCAACAGTGGTTTGTATCTTCTTTTACTAAAATAGCAACCCAGATTACACAAGCACAACTGGAAGAAAACATTACAAAAAGGCAAATTTCTTTGAAAGGCCTTGCTGTGTGCCGGTAAATGTCAAGAGGTAATTGAGATGTAAGACGTGGGGTTGTCAGATACGGAGAACCATGGGTGTGTTCAGTGTGGAAATTATGTATCTGTGATGCTTTGTCGCGTGCCAAGTGCGGTAGAATAAAATATTTCTCTCGGGAATATTGTTTCATGGATTATAGAGTACACATTTGGGTTAGAGGGGTTAGTGACTTCTTTGACGAAGAATATTGAAAAGTGTGACATATTTGAGGTGAAAATAAACCCGAGGTTTTCTGTTGTTGGTTTTGTTGTTTTGTTTTTTAAATTAATAAATTCTGTTCGGCGCTGGCGAAATATTTATCATATTGCCTTTGGTCATTAACCCACGATCACCTCATTTAGACATTTTTCGACAGAAAATAACACCTGTTGAATTATCCTAACCAAATAACCATAAAGAGTCAATAGACTCTACGTTGTTAGAGCCTGTAGAAGTCTAGATTGGCCACCCAGACATGCATGGGCTGTATTGAGATGGCTTAAGACGACTGGACGTCACTTTTCAGTAAGATTCAAGTATTTATTTTTGTTTGACAAAAGTCCGTGCAGGGTGTAAAGTAGTATATCCCTACTTTGAAAGAATGAATCAAGTACAGTACAACCAGAAATTATTGAGAATTTAAAGATTGTAATTTTTAAATTTTTCACTCATTACTCACGTATTAAATGTGAATATTAGCAGAACATAAATCCAGATTCAAAGACAGGTGAACAGTAAGTATTTTGTCAAGTCACCATGGGCAGCAATGCAGGCCTCAATGCGGCGGGGCATACTACTGATCAAAGAAGTTAGAAAGTCGTGGTCCATGCTGTCCCAATATCGGACCACCTCTTCTTCTTTCATTTCAGCAATATTTGTCAGATTTTTCTTATTGACACTTTCCTTCATAAGTCCCCAAACATTTTCTATTGGATTTAGGTCAGAGCTATAGCTTGGCCAATCTAAAAATGTCATATTTTGGGTCCGAAACCAGGCCTGTGAATGCTTTGAACGATGTTTTGGGTCGTTGTCCTGCTGGAAAATCCCAAAATTTCCATAGAACACGTGAGCAGATGGAAGTAAATGTCCCTCGAGAATATCTGTGTACCGCTCACTGTTCATATGCCCTTCAAATAAACAGAGGGGCGTTGCCCCTAACACAGATATGCCACTCCAAATGTTAAATTTCGGATTGTACTTTGGGCGCTGATAGAAAGGTTTTTAGGTTTGTTTGGTCCAGAATTTCAGTGTATTAGGAAACAGCCACACAGAACTTTCGTCTGAGAAAATCACATTGTCCCAGTTCAAATTTCTATGCTGTAAGCACCAGTTCAACCTTCGCTCCTTTTGTTCAGGTTTCATGATCGGTGATGGAATTCCCCGACTTTTCTGCCAACCCATTGCATGCAGCTCAGTTCTAATTGTCTCCTTACAGACAGCCACAGTTCCTCTATCAACCATATCCAGCCTTAAGTTTTCTAAACTCCTTCGTTTGTTTTAGAAACAAGAATACCAAGCCGCCTCCTGTCACCGACAGTCTTTTTTCTGGGCCTACCTGCGCCTCCCTGGTGCTCAATGCCATATTCGTTTGCAATATTTTTCAAAACACGATAAACAGTGGACAAAGGGATGCCTGTTCTACTTGAAATCACTTTAGCTGATCTGATGTCCTTGTTATAATACTCTAAAATCATCAACATCCTCTTCTCTAAATCATCCATACTGAGGATCACTGAAAATGTCGTCTGCTAGCAAGTAAACAAAGGGGATAACTCTTCACAAACTAATGAAAAGGATTAACGGAGTTATCTCTCTTGAATGAAACCAAGCACTTGATAGCTGGTCAAGGTTGTTTATACTAGAAATCCAATTAAACATATTCCTAAAATTCTCAATAAACTTCTGGTCATACTATATGATCACCTGCTCGTTTCGAACTAGGGCTTACTCGATGCATTCGCCATGTCCTAATATATGGACGGAAACGTTTTGATAATTATTTAAACTATATTGAGTGAGTGAGTGTGGTTTTACGATCATGCTGCAAGTACATTCCAATTTAACGAATATTTGGTATTATATACCAGACGTTTAGTTTCTCCCGTTTTTACGGCTGGGTTTACATAATTTGGAACAATATTTCGTGTTCGAATCCAAAATCGA